CCCACTCGGCGTCTTATTGATATTGCCGAATAGCCCGTCATAAATGGCAATCAAATCACCGAGGACCGAGTTTTGTGTGTCGATTAGCAGACGTTGCGGTCCCAGATTTCCTTTGAAATTCCCTTTTTTTCATTGATTTACGCATATGAATTCAGGCGAAAAGGCAACCATGAGCGAATCTTAATGCGACGATGTGGGGATCGAGGTTTATTTATATTCACGCGCTCAAAAAATCGGCTTCACTCTCATCACCGAATTCTTCTTCTTCCTCCTTCTTCGCCGTTTTTATGAATGAAAGCAACTACCCGCAACACCACATTGTTTGCGAAATGCATAAATTATAAAGAGGAAAATTTATATTGATGTAGGTTATTATGCCACGAGGTATATGTTTCGTGATTCTAATTAGCATTTTCCCGGAGCCAGCTGGAGCGGATCCCGGAAAAACCTTTTTTTCCTTATCCCGAAATCTCACCGATCACTTGTTGCCAAACGTATCCTCTTTTTCTGACAGATAAGTTTTACAACATCATATATTAACTTACGAAAACAGACACGTTGTTGTCCGCAAATATCTGGATTAAAGTTTAATCCCTACAACCTCAATAATAGGTTGCAAAAATAAGTATCCTTACCAAGTCGTCAAATTAAAAATTGGGATTATGAGCTAAATATTAAAATCATTAATTTTTTTCATTTCATAAAAACAACTTTATTTTAAAAGGAAGAATGCCTCTAAAACTTAGTAAAACCTCACTTTAATCGCAATTCCTGTAACTTTCCATACATAAAAATAAATACATCAACGGAAAAAAATGAATGAAAATGAAAATAAAAAAATTGGTGATAATTGAGGTGATATGGGCACATGGCCTTGATTAATATCCGAACAAATTAGCAAAGTAAGTGATAATACTTATACAACGGACATCAGATGTGATAAAACTGAAATCATTGGTTTTCCCTCGCTAAATTAATTGTTGAAAATCACAAACGATCGGAGCCTGTGGTGCATGGTGCATACTTCTCAACGCAAAATCAAATTTCAAATTTTATATTTTTCATACAAATATGTATTTTTCCCCGATTTTGCAAAACTGCACCGTAATTTTTTCTCATAAGGTATCTTTCAGTTTTCCCTGCGCAAAATTTCACGCTGACATTTAGAAACGTTAGGGTAACATTACATAGTCATTGGCTTTCTCAGTTTATATCTCCCCCCCNCCCCGTTTTTAGCGTTGCTTTAAGATTAAACAATTGGATCCAGTTTCCCTGAAAAATTTCTGGAAAGTCAAGCAATATGTTTTAAAGTTCCATTAATTTTGATTAAACATCCCTCTAAAATATCAAATTCACACACTATTAAGATGCAAAATTGTTTCACTCCTCTATGAAATTTCATCATGTCTTATAGTTATTTATACACCTCCTGAATATATGTCATCTTTGTCATCTCAGTCCTCAGAATATGATGGGTGTATTGAGAAAACCTGGATATTCTCTTAACTAATTTCAGTGTGGATATATTCATTGATTCATTTGATTCATTTTTATATGGATCTTTTGAGCATAAATGCGTTCAATGTATACTTAAATATTCTCGCACGCACTCTTTCATGGTAGATTTTGGAAATTTTTCTCTGATTTAAGGTAAAATTAGGCTCTTGTAACACTGTCAAAGCTATTAATAATATTATAATAAGGTATAATGATTATGCAATGATGCGGCTCTTTGAGTGAAAGTATCAAATCAGGTGACCTGGCGCCAACGAGTTAAACTAACGTCTGTTGGACGTGCAAACGCAAATTTATGAGAAGGTGAAGAGGTTATCAACGGGAAGAAATAATTTTTACTCCTAACGAGATAGACTTGCTCATAATAAAACTGCCTTATCACTGCGCAGTTTATTGACATCTTATTATTATAACGCGGCGCGATCGAGTTGAGATCCTATTCACACTTTCATTTTCCGAGATTCTTGCAGAATCCCAGACTTTAACTATGAAAAACAGTTGACGTGAATAATTTCAATCACGGTCTTTAACAATCGGCAAGACCGCAACCACAAGAGACCAAATGGGTACTGAAAGGTAGGATTCGGTCGAGAGTACTAGAACGTCGAGGTTAAAAAAGGCTCTGCTCAAAAACGGCACATGTGGATTTTATCAACCGACTTATTGTGGCGTCTCTATTTCGTACTTCGATCTCGCACTTTGAGAGAGAATAATTTATCTGAGATTCATTTTGAGGCAGCGTCGTCGCGTCGTTCTACCTTTTATGGAAGCTGCGAGGGTCCTCTAACCGCTACACGGCGAAGCCCCCTGGAGGCCGCTTAGCGCCCTGAGAGTATCGCTTCCTGGGTAATATTTCAAAAATGTGAGAAGGGCTTCCAAAAGTAACTTTGCCATTAAGGAGCAGAGCGGAGTCCCTGACAAATATTCTCTCTGGATCGAATGTCGCATGCTTAATTTTGGGAGTAATTTGAGAAAACAAGCGGCTTAGCAGCGTTGTGAATGGAACGCTAGTCTGGGGTTCACTCGCTCGAGCGTGAAAACACGGGTCGGTGCGATGGCTCGACGGGCAGACGTGGACACCATGTAACAGCAATCGGTTGACATGAGCCACGGAAATCTACAACCGGGAACATTTCGTCGCCATCTCCCCTACTCTTTCTCCCTATGTCCGAAAAATTAACACCAGTACCGAATCGTTCCGATTGGAGAAATTGAATAACGACGGAGGCCACACTGCAAAAAATATAGGTGAACAACGAAGAAAATCTCGAGGGGAATTCTATCACATGCAACAACTGAGCAGGAATAGCGTCATATTACTGGAAAAGGTTACCCTTATAGGTCAACTCAAACCTTTGTAACAGGAAGGGTATTCCAGTAGAGATAACTGTAGGTATCAAAGTACGAAAATTAGTATTATGGACCAGTAGACAAGGTACGGATTCAAGCATTCTCACATCGTCACATTCTGACCAATGTATCACAAGCGCCATGCGACGTTAAAAAATTTCCACCGCCATTTTATTTTCTAACAAAGAAATTGTTCCACGAAGCTGTCCTAAAAATTTTACTGAATTTTCTTTGTGTTGCCGATAAAATTCAGTAAAATTTTTAGGACAGCTTCGTGGAACAATTTCTTTGTAAGAAAATAAAATGGCGGTGGAAATTTTGAAACGTCGCATGGTGCTTGTGATACTTTGGTCGGAGGGTGATGATACGTTGTTCCTCACTTTAAATATCGGTGTATGAAAATTCGTTCCTTGTCAACTGGTCCATTGAGCATACTCTGGTGGATTTTTGACCAAGTTGAGTGCTCGAGATGAAAGTGCCTCGTCTGATTGGCTCAGAGCTGAGTTTACTCGGCGGTTCGGTTCGATCCAATATCAAAACTGCTCCGGATAGGCCAGAAAACGGCCAAGAATCTGTGTCGGACGTCGTCGTGTCTGGTGCCGGTCTCGGAGACTCAAGTTTACAAGCAAATAATTGCGTAAGAGCGATTGCTTGAGGGCGATTTGCCAATCGCCGGGCGGCTCGCCGCCGTGGCGGAGGCGCTGTGGAGCACTAAACGCAGAACCGCCCACTTGGTTCTTCAATCCAGAATCGATACTTGAGCAGATTTGAACAAACAAAAATCCCAATACCCAATCAAGCGCCCGCATCCACCCGTGAGATCATTGCCGAAATCCAAGTCGGCCCCTTTGAGTGTGCTTCCACTTGTGGGCCGTAATGCTTGCAGTGCAAACATGTATGCGCCGACGCGTCCACAGGGTGATCAAAAAATCCCACTGAAAAAAAAAAGTCACCCCTGAAAACCCTCAGGGCTCTTGCACATTTTCACAGTGGTCCTTTTAAATGTCGCGGGGTCCCAAAAGTCATTCCCTTTGACACAAGAGCACTCGCAAAATTTTAATGCTATTCCTCAATTTATTTAAAAGTCGTAGTAGTGTTGCCAGGTACTTGTTTTGCGGGATTTTTGGATCACCCTGTATATTTTGGAATGAGCACGAGAAAACAATTTGGACCCACGTACCCGAAAAGAAACAAACTCGCACTCAAATCAGAAAAAATAGGTTCAAAGTCGACCACTAGAATTTAAGGACGCACCCTGAACTTTGCCCTCCCTTGAAACTTTTTTGAGAGTTCTGTTTAAAGTGTCGCCTAATCCTATCCATACCTGAGATGATCTGAAGACATTTTAAAGGGGGAGGGCGGTACTTAAATGATGTTGGACTTTTGTCGCTTTTTGATAGCCGCAAAAATCATGGAAATCAATCCCTCGGGCTGATTACTACAACTCATAAGCAGAGCAATAGACAAAGAGGAGAGAGGGCAAATGGAGCCATGCTATTGATCGAAACGGGTGGTTCCAATATACAAAGCAGATAAGTAATAGAGAAGCTGACGGCAACCCACGAGGGACCCAATAATTAGTCCAGCATTTTCCTTCTTAGTCTATACCAACCACCCGTTTAGACTAATGGCATCGCTCCTTTTTCCCTTTGTTCTCTTCGTCTACCGCTTTGTTCATGAATTTCAATAATCAGCCTGGAGTAGAACGGTAGAACGGAAGAACTTTAGAACATACTCTGACAAAAAATGAAAACTCAGAGGGAGTCAGAGAGCATGTAGTGACTTACTTGAGTCGCGTAGATGCTGTTAGGCTCGCGCAGAGCAGGAAAATGAAGAACTCGAGCGGTTTGTCGAGGGAAAACAAGAGAGAGTCATTTTCGTGAACGCGCAAGGACTGCCCAGGCCTTGCGAGCCGCGCCTACAGCTCAAATGTTACAATTAACTTAAGTTTGAAATCGGGGGGCAGCTTAATCAGTTTAATCCAGATAAGTGAATCCCTCGCACCGGAGCGGGGGTGACATGTGGGGGTGTGAGAGAGCGCCGCGTGTATGAATGGCCAATAAAGACACGAGTCACTTCGGCTGTCATTACGTCACGACTGATGCGTAAGGAGATGTAGATTTAGATTACGGCGGGAGTCACATTAGATCCGTATCGCGGCATGCATGCTTTTTCGTGAACCTTGACTGAGAGCAAGAGAATGACCGAAATTATGGGCAAGGACGCAACGACTTGGGGTCGCGATACGTTACGTCGCGGACTCGACTGGCCGCCACACAACACCGCGCCGCGCCGTGCCGTCAGACCCTGCGGCGATCCTTCCATGACAACGCAGTGGTATCGTGCATCATCGCGCCAATGTTGGACACCTTCGGAGGAAGAGTATTGCCATGACCGCTTAGGAAGTCCTTGCGGCGCCAATGAGAGGGAGCATTCTTGGTCCGTGATTCATTTAACGAAGAAATTCCGTGTCATCCTTAACTTACTCGACGTTACAGGTACGTTACGACGAGCCCCAAATAAGAGCTTAACTAAAGAACAAGTCGCATGCATTCCGTTCAAAATCTTTCTCAGAATACGATTTCCGAACTATCCAAAAGAATCAAGGAAAACAATTCTTGTTCCCTCTTTTTCTTTTTCCTCTCACGATAATTTCATAATTCAAAATTTATAAAAATCAGTATCCCGTCGGTAGTAATTCTTAGCTTTTTGACCCGCAAAATTGATGCTAAAACTTTTAAGCTCCATCTCGAGCTCATGCCAAAAGACAGTTGAACACTGAAAAAAAAAAAAAAAACACTCCGGTCGTTGAAGCCGTACTTACGGGATGTGTAGACATACCGTCCGTTCCGAGCTCAGTGACCGAAGGTTCCGGGCGTAGCACCCGGAGCACTCGATGCTACGGCTCCAGCGCTCGGAACTTTCGGACCCTGAGTCTGGAACGGACGATATGTCTATCCAGCCTATAACTTTTTTTTAGTGAATCACAGTGAGCAAATATTTTAAGGTTCCGTCAAAAGATGTTTTGTGAAAATCCATTCCATCTTTTCAGGGATTGCACAGAGGACCGCATGTGCCAAAAATTCTAAAATCACCCGACCTATCTCGCAAACGTAATTCGCGTGAACAATTGTGGCACACCTGGATGATTGGGGATGGAGGAAACGACGATGATGTGGCGCCACACAACGACAAATATCGGATAATTGGTTCCGCCGTTTTGGACTGTCACAGCTCACAGACATACGTGAGAGCGCCGCGCCAAGCCGTTACGCCAAAACTATGTGAGAAAACTGTCTGTTTGAGACTTGGTGCTGGTAAAATTTACCGCACATTTGACCGAGACGTGAAAACAGATTGATCCATCAATCATGTCTAATTCGAAGCATATACACTCTCTGACGATTTTGAGCTCAAACTTTGAATACGCATTACAATGCAATAATGTCACAAAAATAAAGGTGTGGAGAAGGTAAATATTCTATGATGCCGGGCATTTTGAAGTCCTACTTAGTATTGAACCTAAAGTGGAAAAAAGTAGGCATTCCATACCACTTCGTCGTGAGTCTCGGTCTCGCTACAACAGCAAATCGACGACTCATTTTTATTTAATTTTTGTTTCCGGTTTGTAATGGAGTTGTAACTATTTCGAAACGTTCCGGGTTCTTCTTTTGATATGTTCCCCTTTGCAGCCTTTCCCCAAATTATAAGTTGTTATTTTAGTATGTTTTTTAGCTGATTAAGTTGTTCTGAAATTCAATTTCATTGTCATTCGTATATATTCTGCATGTAGAGCTCTATTTGTTGCGCGTTTCTGCAGCATTTGTGACGTAACATTGATAAAACTAAGGGTGGTAATAATAATTGAGAGGTGGTTTGATTTCTTACCTGAGCTGATTTTTCCTTGCTGTGAGACGAGCATCGAAAGAGGGGTTGATCCATGACCGCGTCTGCTGGAGGCCCTACTTAGGGGAGTGATTCCAAAGAGCCGATTTTTAGCGGTCTGGCCAACTTTTGAATACTGCGTTAAACCCATATTGACTAAAGGTTTGTAAAATAAAATATATCACAATGGAAGCTTAGAGAGTAGGTTGATCTGCTACGTTATCTATCACAATTCATATTTTTTGTTTTGTTTTTGTTTTCGGGTTTTCGAGACGTTTCTAATTCTCTAACCAGTGAAATGAATATATTCTTGCTTAGTGCAAAGATTTAGATGATAAGAATGATAAGTGTAACTCGGCTCGTTCGAGCCTTGAATTAAATGTGTGTTCTGAGATTTTATCTCGTCGTCATTTTATTCCCTACAGAGTACTGATCAACTTAAATTGAATCAATTTAATCTGAGGGGGCGTTTTCGTGTCCTCAAGTCGATCCTTGGCTCCTGAAACAAGAAAAACGCTTTCCTTTAATCTCAAATTGTGGTCAAAACTAGTGAATAGTAAAACATAAATAAATTGAAAATAAATACGAAAAACACAGGGTTATACATGTTATACAAAAAATAACAAAAACACAACAATGTATGAAACATAAAATCAATTAAATCAAGAAATGCTCAATTCAATATAATTTTTTGCGTGAAAAAATATTGAACCTAAGTATGTTTGAGAGGACTCAGAAAAGTATTTTTTTCCAAAATACCCGTGACCTAAATTTTTCGTTTAACTTTGATTAAAGACTTTGATTCAGTATCCCATGATTGATAACAAATAATACAGTCCTTTTTAAATTGGCATGACGGTGCGTTTTGCGAGTGTTCAATTTCATAATATGACTTCGTCTTTCCTGCTTAATTTTGCGCAAGACAAACAATATTTAAAATGCACGTCGCGCGTTGCATGAATGAGATCTTTGATAAAAAGGAATTGATTTTTTGCGCCTGTTTTCGAAACTGTGGCCACCACTTCACACAGTTCTCTTCTTGCCCCTTGCAGAAAAGGTGAGGTAATGGCCTAAGTCCTAAATCTTGGCTTTACGTGTTTATTTCTCAATGGCAGGTGAAAAAAATCATTTGAATCAACTGGATACAACGAACTGAGACATACGTCTGCCTGAGGCTGATATGTGGCAATTATCAAATTCATATTGGCTTAACATTTTCCGGCCAAATTCTTGACGAATGCAAAGACAAGCGTGTCTAAATCATGCTGGTAAGTATGGCAACCAAAGAGAGAATTTGTAAGATAAATACGCTGCATTGGTGATCAGAGTTTCATAAAAAGCAGCTTGTAGTTAAATGCCGCCAGTTGGGACACTTAGGCCACACATCGCTGCGCGGCAGGATAGAACAGCATTTAAAAAAGAACGGGAATACGTGAACCTTTTCTGCCTCAAATGTATTAGCTCACTCCGAGGTACTTTATATGATCGTAAAAGTGCATCAGCACCCATAATACTCTACTCGGTCACGTCGTTTCTCACCTTATACACCTCCATGTTATTTACAACTTTATTTTCTGCCTATCCACACTTCGTCGTCTTCCGCACGAAGGAACGTAACTCCAATCCAAGGTTGCCAAATTGACTCCAACAATTGATTTATTTTACAAAAATGTAAGTGTGCAATTTATATCCAAATTTGTCTGATTTTTGCATGAAATCGGAAGAAAAATCAGTGAAATTTTTAGTTAGAAATGCCCAATACTTTTCTGGTTAAAATGCAATTTACGAAAGGAAATTTGGCAACATTGAAATGTAGTTACGTTCTTTCGTGCGGAAAACGACGACTTGCAGCTAGAGTAATGAAATGTGAACTGCATACTAGCAATGATGAGAGTTCTAATTTGAAGATTAATTCCTTAAAATTTTATTTTCCTCCAACCACTCCACTCCAAGCATAGATTTGGTTGATATTCAAGCGCTGTGATAGCCAGGAGATAATAAACTTTACTTTTTATCAGTGGATCGAATACAATCAATAACCAATTAATGCTGGAGTTTTTTTGTTATCAGTAGCAATTAATTTTTTTTCTCTCATTTTTTTTCTACGGTCGCACTCCTTCATTTCGATTTCGGTCATTTAATCGTAATTGTAGTGTCAGGTCGTTAAATTGTAATTAAAAAGAAGTTCACCCAGCTTTTCAAAATCTAATTTTCCGGAAAAAGTATTAATCTATTCCTACTGGCGTATTTTGTCGTTTAAATTATGGTTTACATTCACATATATATAAAAAAAAAGTTTACCTAGACAACCACCTAAGAAATGAACAGAAAGCTATCTGTTTTCTGCGGAAGATGATAGATTATTTTAGATATATTTTTTTATTATTTTTATTTTTTTTTAGACTTGACGAGTGTTTTGAAAGTATCATTCTATAAATTTGTGCTTACTTAAAAGACGGACAAATAAGACTTACGAAGAAAAAATAGGAAGAATAAATCGAAGAGGAGGGAGGAGAGGAAAGTAAAATAGATGAGGTGAAAGAAGAAGAAGAGCAGGACGAAGAGAGAGTGAAAAAAGCCACTAGCTCAAAGAGACGAATACAAATACTAACACTAGAGGAAGCTTAGATATGACCTTTCGAAAAACGAACAAGGAAATAAGATGATAAAATTGTTGAAAATCAAGTGATATCCTCTATTTTTGAACTGGGAAAAACAAATGTTCAAGGCTTAGATTAGGCATATTTTACCTTGCCCTTCGAGCAGATCATCGCGATCATCTGCGCGTTGAGGAGTGACCACCCGCCAGAAAATGATGAGGACACGCAAATGATTAACCTTATGAACTTATCTGAAGTCCAAATTGGCGGAGTAACACAAAGTGCGTTTATGGTTTTCTGATTCCCTTCATTTTCCTTGTGATGAAAATGCGTGGTATCTCATCTAGGCCATCTGAATGGATGACCGCATCTCAAGATCGCATGACGTCCGGGCAACCGCACACCGCACTCCCGCGTTACGGAAGAGAGCCCCAAGTGCACTTCTATGGTGAGCCACGGTTAGTGCGTGTTCTTATGCGTCTTGCGGCTCACCCCGGAATGCATGTTTGGCTCTTCTCCATAAGGCGGCATCGCGCCACGCCACGCATGCTGCAAGGTGTCCGTGCGCATGCGTAAATGTCCACGGATGAAAATCTCTCAGTTGCCCAACATCGGGTGGATGTGGTGAGAAATCTTAACTGAAAGCATTGCTGTCGCAACCTAAGTTAAAAGAAAACTTCGATGAAATTACCGGTGAGGATTCTGAAATCTATGGTTCTCTCGTATACAAAACAATTATTGGAAGTCGACGGGGAAAGGTGCCTTACTCCCTGAAGCAACATTTTCAGTAAAGCTATCTTTGCTTAGTTAAATTGGGTCAGAATATCGGTACTGGACTTGCCATCTGAGGATAATGCCTTATCTCCTAAAATAATGATGCGATCATTTCAGTTTAATTTTGTGTTAACAGAGGGCGCAAAGTTGCATTACACTGTGGCAATTTCGTACCCTTGATACAGTGTAAAAGAACTTTGCTTTAATTACCCCGGAATCACGTTTTTATAAACCTCGATCTTTAAAATCCGCGTAATTTTGATTTGGACTGATGTTTTAAGCTTTTCTCGGTCCAAAATTATCGGAGAATACTCTTCTATGATTTGGTATCAATGACTTAATTTTAAACATTTTTGGACTGCTGTCCCTTTTTCCATAAATGATCACTAATGAAGGCCTTTGAAAGTAGGATATCAATTGTTTTTTCAATGCTTGACTACAAAATCATTAAATAACAGTTTTTCAGTTTATGAGTGACTAAAAAGAAATAATTGTGACGGCACTAATCGAATGTTATAGGCTCACGAGCCTAACCCTCGGAGACTTAAATGCACGTTTAGAAAGAAAATGCCGGTATAGGTCTGTACACATTCTATTAATATAATATGTTCTACAACTAAATGTACAGGCGCCAACTGAGGGATGGACTCACAAGCGTTGGAAGACTTAAACGCGCGATTAGAAATAATGCCGGTACAGGTATGTACACATTCTATTTATAAAATATGTTCTAAAAACAATTGTACCGGCTATAGCTAAGGGATTATGTTAACTAGCGTTCGGAGACTTAAACGCACGTTTAGGAGAAATGCCGATATCTGTCCATTCACATTCTATCGATAAAATGTGTTCTTGCACACATTCACTCAATTTTTAACACTATTTATGTGTATGTAAATTCTATTACTCATTGTCTGGCTTAGTTTCCCTCCATTGGATACATTTCAAACTTTTATTTTTACACCTCCTCCACAGTGTCATAATTTTGAGGTCTACAAAGTATATTTATACCTCGAGTTCACGTGGGACCATAATGAGGAGTCGGATGGACCAGTGGGAAGTACTTGTTATAAAAGAGAGAACATCTAACCACTCAATCACATGTAACACACGATCCTTGGCGAATGATTCGCCGTTGGAATGTGAGAGTGCAATAGCTTCAACTGGAACGTGGACCAGAGACTGAAGCCAAGAAAAGGGCACTGCCTACTGCGTAGTAAGCTCATGATCATTGATGTTTGTAAAATAATTTTGCTTACACAAATTTCAGAGGGTTGATAGCCATTGACCGTACATAGTGGCGCAATTTTAGCTTTGTCGACGCTCTGAAGCGCAAAAGAAGCTTATCTACGTACAAGCCCATAGTATATTGCATGGAGATATCTTTCAAAAAATAGCGTATACATAGTGCGCTCCTAAGGGAGAACACAGTGTGAATGAAGAATAGAGTTTCAGAGACTCGACTTTAATCTTGGCTCAACTGCGAACTGCGTGATGCCTCATATACATAGGTCTCATGTTCATCCGCATTTTCACATGTTCATATTCCAATTTTTGTTATAATTTTAGCATAATATTGCTCCTCAGAGTGACAACTAAAAAAAAAAATCTTACAGTAGGCTTTCTTTTCCATACATACTGTCTTTTCCTAAATAGGGCAACGTATTATAAACGTTTTTTCAGAGCATCAACTCGGTAAGAAAAAGTAACCGATATTTTGTGTTATTATGGGAAATAGAACACAACATTAAGTAACCCAAACGTACGGTTAATATTTCTTGGGGTCACATGGATCAAATTTTTGGGTTTAAAATTTGCAGCCTCGTTAAAAATTGGGCGCGCAAGCCGCCTTAGAATATCTACAGACCTCTACCGGCATTTTTCTTAAACGTGCGTTTAAGTCTCCAGATGCCGTCCCTACTCTTGTTGCTCTCGTCGTCTCTCAGAGGTTGCAAAAGTACGTGTGATTGTACACGAGTGGCTAGCGCCACTCTTGTACCATCAACATTGCGATCCAACGAATTATTGAAATTGATAGACAAAACGATAGACAAAGAAGACATAGGGAGTATGGAACGATCCCATTGCAGTTGACATTGGTGGTTCTTATGTACTAAGAGAGGAA